GCGGCCGCCTGCCCTCCAGGAAAGCTTCGGGGAAGAGCGTCCGAAAGGTAGCACAGGTGTCCTCCATCGTCGGCGAAAAGAGAATTTGAATAAGGGGTTTTAAAAAAGATTCTCTCTCAGGAGGAATCAAAATGTAGGTCTTAGAAAGGTTAAGCCAATGATGGATGGATGGATCAATCCATCTATCTATCGTGAGCTTTCATGGACAAGTCCCCTTCATCAGACAAAAGAGGAAGAGATATAAGATAGCAAATATTATACATGGCATGAAGGTTGTGGTTAGTTGATAAGAGAGAGTCACTGGGTGTTAAAACATTTTTTAAAATGTATTTAAAATATTTTTCATCTGGTCCTTCTCCTTGTAAAGGAGCCCAGGCCGCTTAACAAAGTTTGGTAATTGAATTGATATCAATCTTAGATTGCCTTTTCTGTTTAAGTCTGTAGTATGTTACATTTTCATCTTTTATTATTTTAGTTGTTACATGTTTTGCCTACTTTTGTAAACCACCCCGAGTAGTATTCTCACTAAGTTGGGTGGTGTATAAACTCAATAAATAAATGTTGGCACGAGGATGCCAAAATTCATGCGCAGTATCTATAAACTCAATAAATTGTTACAGAATCATGTGCGCATGGGGGGGAGGAAAGTCTCTGTATTCAAGGACTTTACACTGAGCTGGACTTTTTAAATTTATCACTAGTCACCGTAGCAGCCAGCCTGACCAAATCGCAAGCATTTTTGGTTTCCCTCACACAAACCGGGACCAGTTTTCAAAGACACAGGCTCTCATCGTGGAAAGCCACGTTATAAGGAGCACCTAGGCTGCCTGCCTTGCGTGTTGGCCACGTAAAGCGTGGTCGCCGACATACAACCTGCCCCCAGGAGGAAATTCAGCTCCAAAAGTGGCATAAAAGAGCATGTGCATCTGTATGGTATATTTTGCACACGCTGAAATGCAAATAAAACATGAGAAATGATTCTTATAGCTTGAGCAGAATGATATAATCTGCTTCACCACAGTGAGAAAAATGACCTGGATGCCTTCAGCCCCCCCCTCTCTTATTAGGGTTTTTCATCTTCAAAATGAAAGCTGTTCCACCTCCCTCAAGTGAGGCAACAGGGTCACACTGCCCAACGTAGCGGTGGGTTCGACTCAAGGCAGAAGCCCTAGCCCCCCCAGCTGCTTTGTGCTGAAGAAAGTTAGGAGATCCAGCCCTGGTTTTTCCAACTGCCCTAGAATTAACACGGAGACCTGAGGGACCCACAACATCTGGAGCAGCTGTATCTCCATTTTATTGCTCCCTTCCCTGGCTTCTCCAATCTGCTCTGCTCCAGATGTGAACAGCAGCAGGGCTGAAGGACGGTAATAAAAAGAAAACAAGGTCGAGGAGCATTCTCTGGAGGTAAATTTGGGACCAAAAAAAAAGAGTGAAAGGCAAGGGAGAGGTAATGGCTTCTCTGAAATTGGAAAACAGTAGGCACATCAATTATCCGAGGAAGATTGGTTTGGCTGCAGAACCAGGGAAAAGATTGGCTTGGCTACAAAACCAGGGAACTGAGAGACGATAAAGAAGGCTTCAATAAAAACCAAGAAACAAAATGCAGAAGGACTCCTTGGGAGTACAAAGTTATGGGAGGTGGATGGGCTTTAAAAGGCCGCATTCGGATGGGACAAACCGTCATCTGCCGACTAAGCTAGAGTTTAAAGCCCTCACCCCTAAAACTGGAAGCCCCAGAGGAGTGTTCCTATAGAAGAACATGCCTGGGCTATTGGCTCACTGTACTTCCTGTGCTGATTGTCTTGATAACTGAGTAGAACATAGAGTATTCCCTAAGACGAAAGAACAATAGTTAGCTTTTTTTCCCCCTCTCCTTTCCTAACACTACATTTTCTCTTCATTTTCAGCTTGGCCCAGCCTTACAAGCTGCCCGATGTTTTAACAGAAAACACCCAACATTAAAGGGTATTTTTGAAAACCCTCTCTTCCAGCCTTGCTTTGTCTTGGTTTCTGTTGCATCTTCCCAAATAATGATCGGTGTAAATTGCCTGACAGGTGACCGATGTGGAAAAGATGGAAACCAAACACTTGCTAAGCAACCGTGGAGAGGCGTGCTTTTTTACTCCTAAGCTGGCCAAAGAAAGTGGCTGCAGTGGCTGGAGGGGAACTCCGTGCTTTCTAGAAAAGCACATCTCAGACGTTAACAAAGGTCACACTCCAGATGCAAAAAAGCAAGCCAGCCAGCAAGCAAACAAAATGTTGGTGGCAGCTCAAAAATTATAAAGGGGTTTTTTTTTGGGCACAAGCTTTTGTGAACTGCTCATGCCAAAGAAAACGTACTCATCTTTAAGGGGCCTTTGTGATTCTTTGTGATTTTTGAAGAAAAACCCCCCTTTGGAAGAAAAATCTGTCCAGGCTGCAGAAGACGATACACATATATAATCACAAATAACTTATGGATTGATCAATAACTTAAGATGGAGATTGCAGAAAGGGAAGTGTTTACAAAGAGGTGGTTATTTTAAAAAAGAGAGAGACTGACTAATTTGGGCTAATGCTTCTGGGAGAAAAAAATGAATTTAGATACAATGTATGTATTTTTAATATATGAAAATAGGTGCTCTTCTGAGGACCTGTCTCTACTTGTGACTTTTTCCCAGCTGTGCATTCAAGACTCGGTCCCAGCTGAAGTGCGAACACAGCTACTGTGCCTAACTTATGTTAAATCCCTAATAATTTGCCCTTCATTAGCACGTGCTGGGTAACCCTTGCTCCAGGAGTCTCTGGAGACAGAGAGGTAGCTACTGAACAGTATTTCTGTTGCAAGTCCTCCCAATTCACAGAGATGACACACGAATAATTGCATTTTGGTTCGCACGCTTTCGTAAAACACAGCCCAAGTGAGAATGCAAGATGAAGACTATTCCACAAGAGGGGAGCAGGGGCTCCCGGGTGGGGAAGTAAGACTGCAGTGGAGAAGGCGTCTTGTTTTAAGGAGGAAGGTCAGGAGGAAGAAGCAGCTGGTACTAGGTTTATAATTTTATAGAAGGGGTGCACCGTTTGCTAACAAATAAAGATACAGGGGGCTCCACAGATATTGTTCGATTGCATCTTACGTCAGCCACTGCTGAAGCGGGGTAGTGGTTAAAAGTCTGTGCTGGGGCTCAAGAGATCACGGTTCAAATCCCTCCTTGACCATAAGGCTCAGGGAGTGATCTTCAGCCAGCCATGTTCTCTCAGAGGAAGAGGAGAGATTTAAATAAAGCAAATGTATATTAGCCCATAGGCTTTGACTTCCCTCTTCAACAAACCAAGTCTAGGTTGCATTCTGCTTTTCCAGTCTTCCTCTGATATAGTACAGGATTGCTTTCCACAAAATTTATCTCAGGCTCATTTATTTATTTATTTATTTATTTATTTATTCAATTTATATGCCGCCCAAAGAAATGTCAATGGAAATCATGGGGGGGGGGGAGAGAATATTAACAAAACATTTCAAATTGCCCACTGAGGTGTGTTTGCTCCCGTATCCAGCCTGCTCAAGGTTACAGCTCAAGGGATGTTGTGTAATTTAGTGTCTGCAAACTGTTTATTAAAAGGACACCAGATAATGGGATGGGAGTTACAATATTAAGCTCACCGGGGAGGGGGGTTATGCATCATTAAATTTTAAATTCTACATAAATGTGGAAGAGCTTTTTATTTTTTTTTAGTAGTAGTTACTGCAGTGGAATGTTTTATTAAAGAATTTAGATCTTGGTAGGGTTTTTTAAACAGGTGATTATAGCTGTCATTATTTTTAATTGACTCCTACTGGTGTCTTTAATTGACAAAAAACACCGGGGAGGGGGGTTATGCATCATTAAATTTTAAATTCTACATAAATGTGGAAGAGCTTTTTATTTTTTTTTAGTAGTAGTTACTGCAGTGGAATGTTTTATTAAAGAATTTAGATCTTGGTAGGGTTTTTTAAACAGGTGATTATAGCTGTCATTATTTTTAATTGACTCCTACTGGTGTCTTTAATTGACAAAAAAAAAATTGAGATCTTGGTAGGGTTTTTTAAATAGGTGATTATAGATGTAATTATTTTTAAATGACTCCTACTGGTGTCTTTAATTGGCAAAAATATTTTTTAAAAAAGCCAGGGGGGAAAAAGTGAAACATTCGTTTTCCCAGAGACTTAAACAGGGAACCTAGGTAAGATCATTTAAAGGGGGGGAAAGCCACGCTTTGACCTCAAATTAGGATGGATGGCCTGGGGAGGAGATTCTGCTAATTTCCAGGATGGAACTGGGCCTTTGTGAGAAAAGGCAGATCGAAAAAGATGCTGTTTACCTGCCCTCCCATGCAGCCTGTGTGCCCTCAATCGCTACTCCAAGAGAGAAGGGGAATATAATTGTTGGGAATGTTGTCTGGGGAAAGGAATTACCGTACCTCTTCCTGGATTGTCTGACAGGCGTCTTTCATCAATACAAGTAATCCAAATGGATCCTGGCTTATATGGCAGTCACTTAATTACAGCTGCAGAATTGCACGTTGTCTGACATCACAGAGTGTCTTGCTTACTATTGGGAGAAAGGAGGCTAAGTTTAAAATGCCACAGGACTCACGCTAGTAAAACAGAACCATACAGGCAATATATCAAGAGACCACAGAGAGCTACAGAAGTCTGGTTGGTTGGTTCTGTTTGCTCAACACAATTCTAGAAGGACGCCAGTGTGCACACATGCACAGCTATTCATCGTGACTTGGAGTCCCATGAAGTAGCCAGATGCCAAAGCCACACCCCATTCCTATGGGGTTCCCATTGTGGTTCAAAAAAGGACTCACAAGACTTGTTTTTAAACAATTAAACTTTAATTAGTATCTCTGCAAGAAACATGCAAAATAAAAATTCTTTTTTTAAAAAAGAGAAAACGTCTTCTCTTGACTCCGCAATATGCAGGTGTACGAATATTCCCGAATATTCGGCATTTGTGGAAAAACATGGTGTCACAACTGAACAAAAGGAGTTCATGAAACAAGATGCCATGTCTAAGATACAAGCGATGTAGCATTTGTTTGGAGCTCACTTCACAGGAAGAAGCTGTGTCAGGTTCAGCATAAATAAAAAAAATTCCAGACCTCATAACTTACTGTACAAGAGAGGCTGCTGGACCTATAAAATTGGTGAGATGTGTATCGCAACTGAAGTCAACATGATTGTCTTTTGAAAACAAGCTGCCTCTTAGTTTCTCTGTTCTTATAAAGGATTCATGTCCGCTGTTTCAGAAAAAAATTATTAATACTTCTTCGAAAGTAGCAAAATACAGAATTCACAGGTTGATTCCTTCAGGTGTAACAAAAATAGGTTTCTAAAATATATGTGGCTCAATACAAAACATGGTGCGTGGAAGGGGCAACATGATCGCAAAACTGTAGTCGAGGGTTTACAAAAAAATACAAAAAACATTTGCATTTCCAGAGTGCATAAAGTATTATACGTTTTAGTGCAAATAAAAGGATATCTCAATTCAAAGAGGGACATCTCAGATATTTGCCGAGGTCCGTAAAACATGGAATCGCTTCAGAATCATGCGGATGGAGCCCAATTCTCTATTAATTCTGTCCAAGCGATCTTCTAAGGCTTCCTGCAGAGGAGAAAAAACACACATTCAAGGACCGGAAAAGGCAAGCCGCCTCCCTTCTGAAATGGGGATTCCACACCCCAGTCTCTTACGAGCTTCATTCAACAGCTTTCCACTGGAACCGAAAAGCACATCTTTGTAATGTGTACAGACAGACCCCCATTGCATTCCAGAACACTGAGGGGGAATGTGAGACCTCCCACCACTAATCAATTCCAAAAACATAGCTGGAGTATCCAAGAACAGCGGTTCGATAACACCTTACTTATCCTGGCCCCATCCTCCAAAATCTTGGGGTCTGTTATTTCCTCCCTGGTTCAACACAGTCCACTGGAGCAATATTCCCAGCCCCTATGGTCCCCCCAGATATTACAGATGCTGATTCCCGAAGTTCCGGACCACTGGGCTATGCTGGCTGGATCTTGTCGGAACTGATGTCCAAAAACATCTGGAAAGCTGAAGAATCATGGCACTAAAGCTCCCAAGAATTCCAAGTCCCTCAACCGAGCAAAGGATCCCACAGGAAAGAGCCAGGGTGGACACTGAAGTGGTACTGAACAGTTGTATGTGGGCAGAGCAGTTAGCCAGGTTCGGCCTGACAAATAGTCTTAATTAAAGGCTGTGTGCATGGACAGCACTTAATTCAGCTGTGGACAGAACATGAATCTCAACACATACAGGATGAATGGTTTTGGGGGGGGCTTTTTTGGGTGGTTCAGTCGTACATGCCTGTCCAACTCCAAACATCACGGCTGCTAAATGAGGAACACCCATGTCTGAACTAGACTCGGAAAAGAAAGGAGGAGAGGTTGCAGTGGCCCAGTGCCTTTGATCATTTTAGGTTCTGCTGCAGGACTGATGGACAGAGACACCCCTCGTAGCGATATCAAAATGAGAATTTAAACCTGATTGAGTCTTGCCTGTAGGGTCATTCTCCCTCCGGTACAAGGTATGCGGCTCAGCTGGGCCTCAATCTAGTGGGGGGGGGGAAGAGAGAGAAGGCAAGGAAAAGAAGAGGAGCAAAAGGTCAACAGCCAGAAACGAAACCCTCTGGAACTTTACCCCTCTCTCAAGAAGAGGAGCAAAGGGTCAACAGCCAGAATGAAACCCTCTGGAACTTTACCCCTCTCTCACATTCGTCACCTCTTGGGACTAGACCCTGACAAGGCGTGTTAGAAGACGGGTTTGCTTTCTGTTCTCTAACCTGACATTATTCCCCCAAAAGCAACATCCAAGTGGGATGACATGCCAAAAGTCGGTTGCTGTGCAATTCTTGCCTTTTCAATCAATGTCAATTTTGAGAATTCCAGCTGGTTGTTCCTTCTAGATCAGGATGCCTCCCGCTTGTCCACCACCCGCCTGCCCCTTTCGGAGTTTCTTCCCCCACAACATGTCACTCCCTATTTCACATCAACTGAGCGCTTTCGGTTGGCCCTGGGCTTCTTTTCCCTTTCAGGGTGGGGTGGCTGCAGACGGATTTTTGACTCAGGATAGTTTCTGCTCTGTGAAACCTTGGGATTGTCCAGATTGTGCTGGTCTCTCTGAGATATTTCCCAGCATCCCATTCGGCCACAATCCTGGCAACGCACACCAACCGAGTTTTATATGAGAAAAAATTATGGTGTGGAGAAAGAGACAGAAGTCATGGATTCTGCAGGACCAAGGGGCCGCCATGCCCAACACATGGATTTCCTGGCATCATCATGTAAGCTAATCCTATTCAAGCACTGAAAGCACAAAGGACCTATTTCAATATGCTTGCTCCCAGCTCCCAGATGCACACGAATGCTATGGACACCATAGCTTTGTCCAAAGTTATTTGGAATTACAAAGACGGAGTTTGATGACGCATAAATTGTAAATAAATAAATAAACTGCCTATTAATATAATTAATCCCCAGGCACTGTGAAGGTATACATTTAAGAGCTTGCAAAAAATTACTTGGCTTGTACGTCAGCTCCTACAATTCAAAGAGCTACAGACACCCCCCATCCCAAAAAAAGTAACTTTCCAAGCTCTGGCATTTTTTATAATTCAGAGCTTTCGTGAGAAATACAGAAGAGAAGGCAACGTCTCCAGTTTCTACCTGTTGCTTTTCATACGTCAGCTCATCAAAGAGCCGCTCCGTTTCAGCCAGCGTCTTGATCCTTGACATGTATGTGAAGTCCGCCTCGTAAGGTGCTGGTCCTGCTGAAGACAGGCAGGGCTGGCCTGTGTGCGCAGAGCTGTCCTCTTCCCAAGCTGTCTGCACCGCGCCCTTCTTTGCTCCAGCGTGACCAGGATCGGTGCCAGAGGAAGGCTTCACGCAGCTGGCCCTGCTTGGACTGGTGGGCTGCAGTTCTGGCCCCACCGTAAAAAGCAAAAGGAGATATAAGCTCTCTATTGAACAATGACGTTAGAAGAAATGGTGGGGACGGGAAGTGTAAAAAACATATTGGAGAAGAACTAGTGAAAATGCTGAATATTTGTTGCTCATCTGAGTGAAGCTGGCTCCACAGCACACTGTCCTTTATTACATATCAGCATCCTCAACATTATTAGATCAATAAAAGCATGCTATGCCCAGAGAACACATCTGACCTCCCTTCTTGTAAGCTTAATTATTCATTGGTACAGCAGCAGCGTTGATGGCATTTTACCTAGAACAGCTTTGACAAGTCACCCTCTAAGGAATTTACAGTCTAACAAGAGGCACAGGAAACGGAAAGCAAGAAAATCCTTCAGGCAAAGTAATCTAGGAAGTTTACAAGGGGCACGCACGGGGGCTAGGAGATTGTTTGAAAGGCCAACAGGAAAATGTAGGGTTTGAAAGGCACTGGAAAACAGTAAGGGAGAGGGTCATACAGAAGCATTTTTGGCCTCATAACAAAGCAGGGATTTGAATCTTTATTGGGATCCCCACAGATGAATGCACGCATTGCCAAGATGTGCAATGGACTCAGCAGCTGAGCAGGAGAGCCAGCGTTAATGCTGGATTGGGTGTGGGAAGGGATCATGGATTAGCACATTTTTCTTTGAAGCAATTCAACAATATGTCTTGCTTCTGCTCAGTTTTAACAGTCCACAGTGCAAACTTAAAAATGAAAAAACACTCAGCCACTGTCCCAACTATCATAACGTCTGGACAGCCTCTGCTGGCTGCGGCAACGAGTGAGACGGAAAAGGATGATCATTTTGGAAAGAAAGTCTTTGGGGCTGTGCACAATACTCATGTATATAATCTCATCCTTATGTTTTTATGTCAGGGCCTGACAAATATTCCTTTTATGGGGGGGAAAAACCCTGTCATTATAGTGCGGAAATTTACCTTCTGTATCCTCTCCTGAGCGAAACTGAAGCCTTTTCCTTGAGCTGCTGTAACGTGAGGCAGGTGAAGGAGCAGCTTCAAAATCATCAAGAAGAATGTCAAATCTAATATTTGAGGGAAAAGACATAAAATTAGTGGTGGACGGAGTTTTATTTATTTATTTGTTTGTTTGTTTGTTTATAACGTGAGGCAGGTGAAGGAGCAGCTTCAAAATCATCAAGAAGAATGTCAAATCTAGTATTTGAGGGAAAAGACATAAAATTAGTGGTGGATGGAGTTTTTTATTCTTCTACACATTGCTACATCCTGGTGAGATTTACCATTTCTCATGACAGGAAACAGTTAAATGGAAACACTCTTAAAGGCCATTTCCTGTCAAGATTTTTTAAAAAGCAGCAACTTAGCTTGACAAAGGTCTGCCTGTGAAAAATCCTTACCATAACTGTGAATGAGACAGTTTGCTCTGACCCAGCAGATGCCGTCTGCATGCACACCAGCTGTTAGAAACGCCCTCCAAGTTTGGGACACTGGAGAGAATCGACTATGCTGAGGATGAATGATTTACTCCTTCCCTGCATGTCAAAAGGGGAAGGGCCAGGTGGAACGGCATTCATGTGCCCCCGTCCGTGATACGGACACCTGGCCTTTCTTGCAATGAGCTCCAGCTGGCCTACCTGGTCCCCTGTGCTACTTCATCCTCATGACTCAGCTGGACTGCCCCAAGGTTGTTCCATGAATTTCATGGCTCAGTGGGGACCTCAGTCTGGATCTCCCAGGCCAACTCTAACCACTACATCCTACTGCATCTCATTCAGGCTGGGATTTGGACTCAAGATCTACGTGCAACACTTTTGAGTGGTTTCTAACACCACCCCTTCCCAACATGATCTTCCACCCCTTCCCCTAAAGCTGCTTCATAAATAACTATGCCACACCACCGACTTTTATGTATGCCATCCCTTATTCCCCAATGTGTATCCAATGTGGCAATGTATTTGCTTTGTGGCCACCGACACAGAGAGGCGGATTTCAGCGGCTTTTGTGATTCCCATGGTTTACCATCTGCTTGCAGTTTACAAGCAGTGCAACATTCCTATTGCCACATGGACTTAACGCCTTCCCTCATGGCCCTGAAAGTCAATATTGACAGATGCCTTACCTTGTCATCATATTCTCGTTTTTGCTAAGTAAGTGGCTAAATCCCGGAGACAGGTTCTCTTTTGGAGAGCGTTTGGGGCTGTAGGTCACAGCAACTGGAGTCAGCATTATCTCTCTCCTCGCTAGCAAGAGAAACACATTATTAGGATTATGCTCTTAGACGAGGCAACTGAAACCTCTGTAGAGCTACACTCACCAAATTCTTTGCAATAAAGAAGGGCCCCATTCAGAGATATTCCCTGGGGATTGTCTGACTGAGTATCAACGTATACGGTAGGGACTGACAACCAGAAACATGTTAAAATCCAGTCAGAGGTACAGGCAAATCTCTCAAGGTGCGAGAGAGATGAAAAGGGATATACGGTAGGGACTGACAACCAGAAACACCATGTTAAAATCCAGTCAAACAGAGGTATAGGCAACTCTCTCAAGGTGCGAGAGAGATGAAAAGGGGTTGCCTGTTGAAATTGACTTGATGCCTGTTTACAGACAATCTTTCTCTGCTCCAATCAAGTTGCTGAAGCAGTCACAAACTCCACACAGTTTTCCCACTGTTGCTTTATTTAATCACACTGTTTCTTAAAAGTTCAAGATGGCTAGGAAACTCAGAGTCTATGCAAATACAAAAATTACTCTCAAAAATACATATTTCCAAGCAGCAACAATATAAGGCAGCAATTACAACAGCACAGAGCCCATAAAAACAAAAGCCATGCAAGAACGTGACAAACTTTTCATATCATCATCAACAGTCCATGTATAAATCGCCACCAATTCTTACTGGGAGTATTTGATTTCCTATTTGAAGGCGGTAGAGATGAGGACCTCTGGCCGCTAGGTGAGCTGAATCTTTTATGCCTGAGCTGGTCTTTGCCTTTTTCTGGGGACCGGCTGGTGTTGAGGGCTGCTTCATCAAATCCAACAGCTGGACGCCGGGTGGATGCTTCTGAAATAAGCAAGAACCACCACCCCCCCAAAGGAAAGAAATGTATATATTCACTTGTGGCATTTCTGCACACACACCCCAAACAGAAAAAAGTCCTAGAAAACTTTTAAGGAGTATAAAAATGTATATGCGGCAGAAAACAAGGTACGGAAAAACAGCAGGAGAACCAGAAGGCGCAAGTTATCAGGAGCAAAAGGATCAGAACATTCTGGCAGGACATCTATGAATTTTCTCGTACATATTCAGAAGACTTTTGATTTGGCCTTCTCAAAATACAGTCAGGGTGACCACAGAACAAGTGATCCTGAATGATATTAAAGCAGTGGTTCCCCAACCTTGGGCCTCTGGATGTTCTTGGACTTCAACTCCCAGAGAAATCCTGGCCAGCAGAGGTGATGGTGAAGGCTCCTGGGAGTTGTAGTCCAAAAGGCAGCATGCCATTATTTAAGGAAATATTCTAAGGTTCCTACTGAAGGAGATCTTAAGAGAACCTACTTTCAGATATGACCTGTTGAGGTTTCTGGGCATGTAACAGTCCTGGACAAATAGTAGTGTATTCCTCACCACTGTCCTCTCACCAATTTTCACAACCAGCCAATCTGTGTGGGATGCATCTTTATCTCTAAGTATATTAAATTTTGTCACAGTAATAAAAGCTCATGCTGGATGACTCACAATCCTAGTTTATTAAAAAAAAACTTCCTTTCCTTACATCTTATTTTTCCAACAAGAAGTTTATTTAAAAAATCATTTTGTGTTACACTTATGAACAAAAGAAGTTCTGCAATTCTGATAAAAGTCAAAATGTTTTTATGCAGGTAGTGGAAGCAGTCCTGGAAAATGAAATTATAAGCAGTGAATGTTGATTTGGCTGCCCCGTGAATGATGATGGCACCTGATCAATTTGAAGCGTTGAAATGCTAGCGAATTTTATGTAGGTTTTCATGAGGGTTTCTGTCAGATATTGAACAGCATCCCTTCTAGATACACCAGCAGCCAGTTCTAATTTGCTCGGCCGAAGGCCAGTTCTGTAAGGGTAAGCAGAGACCCTCCTCTAAACATGAACCGTTCTAATCCTAACCCATTGCAAGAATGAAATAATACCAGTAAAAAAAAAATCTAAGAATGTGACTCATGAAACCAAGGAAAATTCACGGCTGCTTACTTGGAGGCGGCGGCGCTTCCTCCTCCTCTTCTTTCTCCGTCTCAGTGCCCCAGTTTTTCAAAGCTTCCCTTTCTTCGAGGTCTTTAAAAGCTTTTATGATGGGCATTTCTAGGACTCTGCTTTCCTTTTTTGCCATCCCACTTATTAGCGAGCAATCTGGAGACAAGTCCTTTTCCGGAGGCGAATGATGCCTGGAAACATGCAACGGAACTATGAATATTCAGCGACTGCTATCAAAATTGTGACAGAAAAGGTCAAGAGAGCGGCAGTCAAAGAGGAATGGATATCACAGCATCGTTTTAAGTGAACTGGATCTGGATACTAAGTTGGCTGAACAGAATTATAATGAAAATAATTTTCAGTGAACCGACTTAATCTGGACTCTGCCTGCTGCAGACAAGAAGAAAAAAGGCTACTAGAAATATATTTTAAGAATCTCAGCAGAGTGGGAAGAAGTCACAAAAGGGTCGTTCTGTAATGTTTTTCTCAACAGTGATGGTGGAATAGCATGAGCAAGGGCTTGTAGACCCGGCAACGGGAAAAGAGAGATGGTAAACTGGGGTCTCCAGATATACCTCTGGGTGATTTGCAGGGGTCCCTGATTCCTAGTTGTAAAACTACAGCCTACAAAAAAGCTCTGCCTTCCTCTGCAAATAAGGCCCACAGTAATGAAGGAAACCGCACGGTGGTGGGTGGACAAAGGAGTTTGGAGCGACTGGGCTGTGAGCTCAGTTCTGATATGGAAAAGGAATCCTGAAACCAAGTACTAAAGAGCCACTCCTTTTATTTGAATTCTGTCTGCACATCCTTGCCCTGAGCAGACCACTGTTTTGCACCTGATGCTGCTGGCGCTTGAGGTTCTGACAGAAACACAAAACAGGCTCCGGGGAGTCTCAAAGTCACCCACTTCTGCCCTATAACACACTGAATGATGACAGTGGAAGGGAGGGAGGTCCTTGTGCTCATAAGGACCCTCTTCTTTTGGGAAAAGACTCTTTGTAAACCCGACACTCCAAGCCACCTCACCTGAAAGCAGGATACATTTTTTCAAGCCGGTTATCCTTGAGGTTCTCCTGGGCGCCTAAAGGCTGGCCCGTGAAGATGGAATACTCCGATCCTGGGATCAGCCATTTCCTCCTGCTCACGTCAGAGCTTCCTAGTTTGCTGACAGGAAAGAAACAGTGAAGATTCAGTGAAAAGCTCACCCTTCTGGAAGGTAGAGTGTAGGATTCTAATAGAAGCCAGAAATATTCAAATATTCACGGAATCAGTGGACAACATTCAATGTCAATATTTCCAAGTGTGGGGATCTGGAGACTGGTAAACTGATTAATTTTGCTTTTTATGATTCCTCAATACTTTTTGAGCAAGTTGGGATGAGATACATAAGATGCAAATTTCTCACTTCCTCAGAAGGTTCTACTGTATTTTACTATTTACCTCAGTTTCTTTTTATGTTATATGTAAACCACCCAAAGTAGGCATGTTCTAGATGGGCAGTATATAAATCTAATAAATAAATAAATATTCACTTACTTAGCGTAAGACGTTCTGAAGTGGCTGTCAGCAAGGTGACGAAATTTGAGCAAGTTTTCATGTTCTAACTGCTTGATCTGAGCTTCAAGTTTTGAGACTGTTCTAAAGCAGAAGGGAAACGCAACGCTTTAGCTGATGGATTGATTTCAGAAAAAAGGTAAAAAAAATAAAGCCTGATCCAACAGCACTTCTGGCCAACATCAGCAAGAGCTGTTGACAGAAACTAAGCATAAGAGGTGGCTGGAGATACGAGCCTTGACAATCTGAATCCTGTCTCATCCCCTGCAGTCTCTTAAACTGGTTCTCTTTTGTTTCCATTAAGGAAACAAGGCATTAACATTTTACAACAGGGATTGGGAACACGTGGCCCTCAGCTATGGCTGTATCACAACTCCCATCATCCCCAACCAACAGCCATGCTGGCTGGGCTGACAGGAAGTGGGGCGCAACCACATCTGGAAGGCCGCCGGTTCTTCTGGCCTGTTTGGCAATGCAGTCACCTGAAACCACAATCATTTCTCTCACCCAGGATTAAAATACACACTTACCTTTTGAGATCAGAAATCTGAGTATTTGCATCCAGCAACTTATTCTCTGTGATATTTAAGGTATCCTGCGGAGAAGAAGAAAACACACATTGAGTAACATAAGGCATAAAGTGAGCACAGAACCAGCCTCTCTGCTCATCTTGAAAGACTGTGTCACCTTCATTCCTTCCTTAAATTCATCTCGGCATCTGCTCAGATTGACTTGGCGCTCCTTCTGGAGAAGGTTTAGGACAGTAGTGCACCACCATAGCTTCCTAACAGACAGTGACCATATGTGCAATCTGTCATGATGGCGGCACGCTCCAGACCGGCTGGTGGGTCACCTTATCCTTTTCTGTGTGGGCGTTCTGCCACATTATGCCCTCCTTGCTCAACCACTCTGTTTCTCTCTCAAGGACTCCCCACTTCTAGGCACATTTGGATGAAGAACACCTTGAGCTCTTGCTTTGGCAACTGTGCAGTATACTCTGCACAGTATGGGTGAATATGGAAGAGGTTTAGCCTGCAGTAAGGTCTTTTTTCTTGGGTTGGATTAGCAACCACTGAGTTGCCACAACTTCTCGTCCAGTTCACAAGCCGCTGAGTCAAAAAAACCTGGGTCTGAGTGGTAACAAAATTAAATTTCCCATTTCTCAATTTGTCTATTTCTATTAGCAGCTGAATGTGCCTCTGTATCTTGCACATTTAAGGCTCCTCTTCAGCTTTCAGCCACCCCCTTCTACAATTTCATTCTGCAATCTGTTTCATAGAAAGTCATTTCAACACACAAGAAAATCGATGCTCACCTTTATTCTCTCATGTTCTTTCCCAAGGGATTCATATTCTCCTAGAAGCTATGAAGAAATAACTCATTTTATCCCCAGCTTTTCATTTTTTTTAAAAAAAATCAATGAAATAAAAATCCAGTTAGATAAAATGTTAGTTTAAACATCCCATCAGTGAAAAAGAGGAAGAGCTTTAGATCAACATATCACCCAAAGGGTACAAACATGTTTTGGGGAGATCACCAAGTCTACCCCTGCCATCGTTGTTTGACTCCTCTACGCTAAGGAAGACAGAGTTAAGTCTATGATGGCCAACACGAATATTCTCCTCTGTAACATTAAAGCCAATTCCATGAGGCCACATATTTCAACAACTGCAAAGAAATAGAGAGACTCTCCCAAGGTTTATTCAGAACCAAATTTTTTTTAAAAAAACAACTCAGCTTCCTACGATGAATTTCAGTCTATTTGGTTTAAAGAAATCACAGGAAATCTAGACCTGTTTTAGAAAGACCAGAAACACAGAGCAGAAGTGAAGATGTGCCATCAGGTTGATTGCTGAAAACGAGAAAAGGGACTAAGTAGACAAAGGCACCAAAGAACTGTCCCCCACGCTGCTGAAAACCAACACCTACCTAACCCTCTGGAGTTAAACAGAAAAGAATAATACTTCTTTTTCAGGAATCAAAAGGCTAGGCTTCTTTCCCCCCCTTTCACAAAGATATCTTTGTTGCAACAGAAAGAGCTTTAATGCAAGCACAAAGACCTCTCCAGAAAGGAGCATCCCAACTGTTGATATCTAGGTAAAGGCTCCTATTTCAATTTTTTCAAAAGATCACCTCAACTACAGAGTCCTTCATATAACAGGTGAGTTGCAATAGGATGTTCCAAGTCCTCCAGCATCGGTAGCTGAGCATTTGGCTGAACCCCTCTGTCTTCAGCCTCCGATAAGCATTTTGCTCACATGTAACAGTTTTATCCCCACCTTGTCTGGCTTACATTTTGAAACATCTTGTTTTCCTCCTTCAGCTGGGCATCTTTATTATCCGAGAGCTTGTAGGCCTTCTCGAACGCTTCCTCGAGATCTTTCAGTCGCCTCTTCAGGCGGCTGATGGTGTTGTCTTTCTCTTTGCTGCTCGAGCGCATCTCCTCAATGCGTTCCTGCAAGGCCTTGGTCGTATTGCTGATGGCACAGAAACGCTCCTTCCAGTCTGTCTGAAACAGAGGCAGGACGAGCATCACATAGGTGGGGAATTAGCAGAGGCTTACTTCGAAAACACCAGAAAAGACAACTGATACACCATGAAGCATACGACTCAGACATCTTCCTATTTTTCCTTCCTTGCTAGAAACACCCCAGAACAAAATTCAGTGAACCTGATTCATTGAACTGTGGCCATACCACTGCGTAGGATTCTCAAACGGCTCAATCCAACTCTGTTTACAGAACCTCCTTCCTCCCAGAGATGTGCACATCAGCAACACAAAGTGGCAGAAAACAGAAGATCTGTGTCTATGATGCCCACTCTCCAGGTATTTATTTATGAACCTCCCGACTTAGTGGAAAAACACTGCCCCAGACAGTGAACGCAAAGGAAATTAAACCCAAACAGCAGTGTCACTCCACAACCATGATATGAAATAACAATATGAAGAGCAGCAAACAGCAACAAAATCATATGGAGACATCAAATTTAGCTCCAAACTAAATAACCGTCCATTCCTGACTCAGAAGGGGAAGCATATTTTTGAAGGGTACTTCATGGAGTTCTGCCTTAACAGGTTTTCTGAAAATAAGGAGGGATGGGGCTTGGGGTATATCAGTGGACGGCCATTTCTCAGGTTCAGGGCCACCACCAAGAAAGTCAGATTCCTGGTGGACATTTGCCTGACCTCTCTCAGTGTGGCCATTCTAAGAAGTAAGGCCTGGGAGGGACAGGTCAAGTGGGCAGCAGTTCTTTGGAAGAGACGGCCTGACAGATACGTAGCTGGCACAAATTGCCATTCTGTGGCCCTTCCTCCAGATCAATAGCCTCAGTGGCTCTTCTACCTGTACATTATGGCAAGGTGTGGTACCACTTCTTTGCCTCCACACAATTTTTCTTTTTCTGTATCAAACCTTTTACATTGTAAGTTCCAGGACAAACCTATTTTTCTTCTTCTATATCATACCTTTTACATTGTAAGTTCCAGGACAAACTTCTGTTATTAATCTTCTTACGGTACTTCAAAAAAAGTATAGGGGCTTAATAAATAAAATTACTTGCACTTGGAATCCTAGGGCTAAGCTCCACTGCAGTCCCAATTAGAGCAAACATACTGTTTCAGCTGCTGAATGGCGAGTCAATATTTATGCATACTCCGGCGACTCAATGAGTCTGCGCTGGCTGGTATGACCAACTGGATGTTAATGACATCTTATTGCTACATTAGTTCTATTTTATTGGTTATATTGCAAAGGAAAGCTTTTCAGTCAAAGGCACAATATGAAGCAGAGAGATAATAAAACAATGGGCTTCCTCACTTGATACTATTGTTATGTAGTGTAAGTCTGTAATTTGATTCATTACATGCACTTACCAGTTCCATTTCTAGAGTGTTATTTTTATTTTCAAGGGATCGCATACGGTTATTAGCTTCATTCAAAGCTGCCTCTAACTGTTCACACCTAAAAATTAAGAAATGCCATGAAAATGCACTGAAGTGAAAAATTGTCTCTTTTCTCAAAATATTTATCCGAGCTGCCTCACTAGCCTGTAAGCAGTGGTCCACACAACACTGAAAAGGTTCTAGAAACCAAGCAAAACATTTCTTGCTTATAAATGCATTAGTTTTGTCCTGAAAGGCATATGGTATCCCTTACAATAGCCACAACACAAACGCCCAGCAAAAGATCATGTTCAGAATATACTGGACATTTGTCTTTTTAGAAAGAGTCTGAGCAAATCATCTAAATGGTAGAACTGTGGTTATCCTGATGCATCTCTAAATCATATGCTAGGGTCATGCCCAGTTATAAACTCATTTTGGAGAGGAGTTATTACTTGCATTAATTTTGTACTGGACCAATCCTTGATGATGTCCATGGATCTTTGAACTATATACCTATTTCTTGGAGATTAATGACCTGTCACGGCAGAAAGACTCTGTGTGCCCTTCCAACTGCAGAAAAGATTGACTTTGCAACACTGGAAAGATGCCAACCACCAAGAATCCAGTGGATAGAAGACCTTACAACACTATCAACATACGAAAAAATGTTTTTTTGACATTTGGAAACCTTTCACACAATCCTATGTGTAGATACTCTTGTGTTCTGTTTTGTTCTATTTTTCTTTGCTTCCCTTTTTTCTTTCTATTTTTTCTTTGCTTTTGCAATTTTATAACTTTGTATCGAAACCTACTGTATCTCTGTTTTCGCTACTATTTGTTTTCTACTTTTAAGCAATTAATTTTTTTAAAGACAGCACAAGCAGGGAAGCTCCCTGCAACCAAGTACAGCAATTCATCAGTAAGTTGTTTTGAAATATGAAAATTTATGCCAAAGCAAATCTGGCCGTGAAAAGGAACAGCTTCTTCAAACAGAACCCATCCCTAATTAACTGTCACATCACGTTTCCACAACCACCTACTGTAACATCATACAGCCATCACTATGTGCCCTACATCTTCAAAACCAAAGCAAAAGGAAAATATGCATAGCATTCCAAATTCAACAATTACCTGTCAACAAGATTTTGATTGATTTTCTTCAAGTCTTCAGAAGGGGATTTATGGCTTGGCTCTAGCTGTTGCTTTAAGCTTTGAATTTCTGAATCATAATAAGCTCGCAGATCAGCAATATGTCGGGCATGTTTTTCTCTCAAATTCTGCCTGATCCTGTTTTTCGACATTAAAAAAAAGTCACAGTGCTGTTGTACCTTAGAAGACAACAACATTTCTGATGCAGAGAATGACCACACTGACACTTGTAGTCCAACAGTGATGGTGAAAACGTCTACTGAAATTTGCTTACACAGAGAGATACCAAAACACCAAAGCACTCAAACACCAAGAGCCAAAGAAATAGTCAGCTTGCTCTGAACATGCAAGGTGACTTCCAGGGGAAGTTCTGAACAGTGAAACAGACATCTCTGTTATGCAATTGGTTTAAGTTAGGCCTAGCTAAATCAGGCCGGGGGGTGGGTGGGGCTTCTCCCTAATCAGAAAAGCCACTGAAGAGAACTGCAGTCCAAAAATCAAGGAGGATCGTAGCTGACCCCAGAACCGGCCATATCTACTTTGGCCCTCAAACTTCAGTTTGTCTCATAAACCCACAGGAACCCAATTTATTCACTTAAAGTATCACTGATAAATCCAGAGAAAAATACTAGACCCAACACAATGGTTTACCATTCGGTGTATGTATGTATATGTATGTGTGTGTGTGTGTGTGTGTATATACATATATACATATATACATATATATATATATATACACACACACACACACAATTTCTGATCCTGAGGAAAGAGAACAGCCAACTTAACCAAGCTTCCCAACCTGGTTAGCTGACAGAATATATTTGTAAACCAGTGATTATGTATTTGTGTTATTCAAGGGCAGCCTCATGAAAGGCCAATAGGAAGACATTTTAACAACTGCTTCTATGGATGTTTATCTAAGAGGCAGTGTTCTGATGCCTGCCAGCCTTACTTGGACAGCACCACCGGATCTGCTACGCAAGTGGCTGAGACGCTGTAGTCCGGCAAACTGTTATCCACAGACTGAAGCTGGGAGCCTGCAGCTGAAGACGGAGTGAGTGTTAAGTTGTCTTCCTCCCCCATGTTGAAGAGTTCATGGTTTAGCTGAGAACAACTGCTGGTATTGCTTTCGCTCTGGAAGGCACAACTGTTCCAGGGGTCCGCGTGTAAAATGGCTGCGCTGGGAGCATCTTTCGGTGACCCGGCAGACGGAGGCGACATGGCTGTGCTTGTGTGGGAAAACGAATCTGTGTCCGAAGGAACGAAAAAGGCAGGGCCCGCCATTGAGTCCGGAGAAAACGAAACCCTTTCAGGGGTAGCGCAGAAACTGTGTGAAGGATGTCTGGGATTTCGCTGCCCTGGTTTCATATGTAGTGTTGGGTCAAGGGTCAGGATCTGCAAAACAAAAATCACAGTGATTAGAACACAAGAAAACCCACGTCCAGCTTTGTGGTGGGGTCTAAAGACAGCCGAGGCGAATGTTATGATGTTACAGCCGCCCTTGGACGAAGGCAAGAGGAAAAAAGAACCCTGTAACAGAGGAACCTGAAGACAGAATCGTGACATTTCAGATAATCTTCCCTCTCCTATGAGCCAGGCGGAAGGAAGGGGCAATGTTTTCCTTCCACGCATGCATGTGTGTTTTTCTCTCCTTTACCACTTCCACCAAAACTCAGAGAATCTTCCCTCTCCTCACTATGAGCCAGGCGGAAGGAAGGGGGTAACGTTTTCCTTCCACGCATGCATGTGTGTGTGCATGCATTTTTCTCTCCTTTACCACTTCCACCAAAACCAATGGGAGGAGAAACTACAACCGCAAGATCAAGCTGCTGCAGTTTACTGGTCAATTCAAGGTTGTGTTACAGTGTGAGAGAGGGCTTCAGGTTTGCTGGACAACAGCAGTAATACTTTCTCCAGTGGTCTGGGAGGCCTCATGAGCAGATACACTGCCCCAGTGAGAGGAGGGGGCACATCAACCCCCTCACTTGCATCCGGCATGGTTAAGACTCCTCTGCCCAGTAGCTGAATTCATGTCTTTTTCTAAAATTCCTGGGCTTTTATACTAGAAGGAGAAGCCACTAGTTGGTTATCAAATAACCACCTTGTTTGGAAGCAGTACTGACCGTGAAATGCTGTGACGACTGAAATAAACGTTATTTGTTTTGTGTTCCTGATTTTATTCAGAGAACAGGTGAGCAGAGGATGCGCATATACCATGGTGATCAGTGCAGTGAATGAAATATTTTGTTCCTTGCAATGATTTACTTCCTTGGCTTGTGTCAGGGGAGAATACCTGTGTTTATAGTCCAGAAAATGCCAGAAAATCCTACGTTTGGGGAAGTGCTGAAGGCCAACGCAATAACAAAGCTAAAATGTAGACCATCACCTCAGGAGGGTGAGTTGATTGCGATGGAGAAAAATTCCAGTCTACAAGCTGCATACTTTCCCTTTGTTTCTGATGATAAATATCCTTCAGAGTTGGTGGCTTCATCTCATCCCCAGACGATATCTAAAAATAAAGGAATGGACCACTATTGTTATTAATAAAACATACATTTAAGACAAAGATAGGGGGGGAAATGTCATCTTGCCTCCCAGGGCCCTGGCCTGTAAGCATAAGGACTCCGGCGATGACTAAGACTGTATCCCTTTTAAAAAGCAAATGGCACTAGGGATAAAGCTACCTGTGTTTGTCGCTTTACACATTAAATGTAGACTGCTGCCCAGCGCATTTTCACCATGACCAAATTTCAAACCATGAGCAATGCGTGCCCATCAGAATAACGCCATATCTCAAGAGTTCTTGGATCAGACTCCTGTTTGCTTTCAATAGGAGCAGTTCCCCCCACTTTATTTTTACAATTCCTTCTTAAACCAAGTATTTTCAACAGATAAGGTAAATGGATGTTCCTAGCAAATTCTGTCTTAAAATGGTGGAAGCCTGCAGCACATGTATCTCTGCATGGCTTCTGTTTGGAAACAAGCAAGGATGGATCTATGAGCAAGGAGAAAAAGCCAAATTAGATGAGATGCCTTTCACACAGTTATCAATCGCATAAATGGCTTTGAAAATAACAGATGCAGGCCCTTCAGTCTGGCTCGCCACCTGGAAAGGCTCTGAACCTCTTCCCAGCCCCACTGCAGAGCCAATAAAGACTAAGCCCCATGATTTCACTGCTTACATTTTAAAAGTCATTCACATAATTGTGATTTATCTAGTATGTCACCAATTCTGGACTGAATCGCTTAGCAGTTTCATGCCACCTGTTCAAGCTGCAACATTCAGATCAGAACAAAGTCAACACCGCATGGGGCACACCAGGATGATTGTGGTGGCGTAAAGGGGGCTATATGTCACATCACATCTGCACACAGACATACAAATTTCTATTTTTTGTGAGAAAATTATTTCTCCATATCTGAGAAAGAACTCAGAATGAAAAAAGTGCAACACTCTAGATGGAAATGGCTGCTCTAAAACAAAATCAGGGGAAGAAAGGAAGAAAGAAAGAAAGAAAGAAAGAAAGAAAGAAAGAAAGAAAGAAAGAAAGAAAGAAAAAAAGAAAGAAAGAAAGAAAGAAAAAAAGAAAGAAAGAAAGAAAGACAAAGCCACAATTTTCTCATTTGCTTTTTCAGGCAATGAAAATGTTATCCAGGATTGGATATGTAGAAACAACAGTACTATAAATCACGGGTGACGAGGCCTTGGAATCGGTTTTGATTTCCTTTTTTAAAGGGCTTTCTGATTTACTATCTGCTGAAGCCAGAATGCAATTATTTGAAGAAACTGTATTTCTTGCTTTCCTCCTTTTTATAATGTATACCCGCTTCGTGTTCAGACAGATCTCCGTTTCATGATATTAAACACATCCAGATATCATCCAGCCATTCCTCAGCAGATGTGCCCATCGGCAGAAACAAACCACAACAGCAAACTTACACAAAATAGTTCTTGAGAGATACTTAGCACAAGCGTGGTTGGAGATCAGATATTTGAAATGGAAATCTGGATCATGCCTCATCCTCTGCAATCTTTTCAGCTGGTTCTCTGTCATTTCCATCAAACCTCCTGTGCTCACTGTTCTTACATACATACAGTGGTGCCTCGCAAGACGGCCGTTCCGTTTAATGATGAATCTGCATTATGACAAGGTTTTTGCAAAAGCGATCGCAAAACGACGTTTTGAATGGGGGAATTTTGCTGTGCGATGATCAGTTCCCTGTTTCGGGAACCGATTTTCGCTTCCGGATGATCAAAAGAGCTGATCATGGGGGTTTCAAAATGGCCCCTGGGTGCTCAAAATGGCTCCCCGCTGTGTTTAGGAGCCATTTTTTGCTGCACAGGCACCCGAAAATGGCCACCCCTATGGAGGATCTTCGCTGGACGGTGAGTTCTTAGCCGATTGGAACATATTAACCAGGTTTTAATGCGTTTCAATGGCTTTTTAATTTTCGCTTTATGACGTTTTCGTTCTACAGCGATTTCGCTGGAACAAATTAACGTCGTAATGCGAGGCACCACTGTAGTTTATCACATCTATAGTTTTCCTTCATCACCCTCCCTAATCTCTCTGAACTAGTACACCCACTTCCATTCTTCCATGTTGATGGTTGTACCACCAAGCCTCACTTACAGAGGGCTCTCAGACTCCAAAAAGCCACCTTTACCTCTCTAAACTGACTCAAAATCCTTATCTCACGCTACGTTTCCCTGGAGGAACACTTGCTATTTCCAAATCAACCCTCTCCCATTCCATTTCTCTGGGGTTCCTCTATCCAACCTTGTTCCTTCTGACATCATGGACAAACTGCCAGGTTGCGAATGCAACAATAATGGTTAGGCAAAGTACAGACATTTATTTAAACAGGCAGATTTGCTTATTAGTACTTTAAACTTCCGTGTGGGCTCAAAAGCAGCAGTTTTGTGGGCACAAAACAAATCCTTAAAAATCAATAACAGATTTTTTTAAAAAAAACAACAATGCCTATATGCAACCTACCTGAATAACTGCCTACCATTTCAAATGCTTTACAAATGAACAGACTTTAAAGCTTCCTGCAAAATCAGGTACTCCAATTATACGAGGAAGGGGAAGGTGTAGCAAGTGTTTCAAACCCAGTCTCTCGGTCTGCTTGATATGCCAGTAAAAGCACATCAACCAAACAGCGAGAGCGACAGAATAGATCAAATGCATCTGTAAACATCCCGGTTAACTGTCAAAACGCACAAAGACAAAAGATACCTGCTCTGAGGACACTTTTGCTGAGAATATGTTAAATTCATTTTCAAATTTCTCAGGTAATGTGTGGTACATCTCCTTCTCATCTAGTTTCCAGTATGTCAACCCTAAAGAGTAAAAATATTATCAGATTTGATTTCTGTAGAAAACAATCTACAAAAATCTTCTGTAGAGAAAGACCTGCAAAGCTGTGGAAAAGTACTGTATCATTGTTCTTCTTGATTTTTACATTATTGGGCAAATTCAATATCTTATGGAATACTCATGTGTGAAATATTACACTTCAGAGCTTTAGCAGTAACAGGGTTTGACATGAAAGAGAGCTCAAGGCAGCATATTGGTGTTTTACAATATTTCTGTATGAACTCCATTTGAATAAATCTCCCTTGTATTCTGTTTTAAACAGGAACAGCAGATGTAAATTCGGTTATAAATATGAATTTTAAAAAACTGAAGCTGCTTGTGGTAAAAAGTGAGGAGCTTATTACATACATAAATAACTATGTCATAAAAAACAGAGGTAAATTTATTTTCCCTGTATATGGGTCATTCAACTAGACTGTGTTTTAAGCAAAATAAAATGGTTTCCCAGTCTTACTATATAGTGCATCAAAGCTCTGCAACTAGTCTCATCTTAAAGTCTTCGAACAGGTACCACATCTACAAAAGTAATTTAGTGGGAAGTACTTCCCAAGAGAAATAAGTCACACTGAACTTGGTTGGACTTCCAGAACATGTCTACTCAGAATAACACCCACCCCTCTCTGTGATGCTTAAACTCTTTACATATATTTTTGTTTTCCCGGATTGTGCCTTAGCCTTACATTCCGCAAGCTATTTCAATATAAACAGACACAACAACGAGAAACACACACACAGAATGGCAGCCATGGCAAAAGTTTGCAATTTCACAATACCAACAGTAAAAGCAAAATAGAAAGGTGTTTGTCATTAATTATACCTGAAGTATCATCAGATACTAAAGAATGTTGGCTTCCATTTTGCTCACTGAGGTAAAAAGTGGAAGATGGTGGAAGAGCAGGAGGAGGATTAGTCTGTAATTTCATAGAAAAGGGGAGAAATTTTAGGAAGTGATAATAAAATATTAACAAATCTTACAGAGCACAGTGCTACAGGCAAATATCTCTATCTCTAGCTGACTATTTAGAATGAAGTCCCACTGAACGGAGTGGTGCTTATTCCCAAATAATTGTGCACAAGATTGCAGCTCAAGGTTATAAGATGTAGGGCACACTGAGATCCTCACATGATTGTTTGACCAGGCACAGAACTCCCATTCTGGCTGAGGTCTGAATAAGCTAGTAAACTCCATTCATCCAAGAGGCTCGAATACTTTCAAAGCCTTGAATAGCAGTACCTCAGGCCCTGTGGCAAAGCCCACCGGACAGTGAGAGAGTTTTCAGAACCTGAGTGATAAGGAAGGAGTTGTTTGAACAACAAATAACACTCACACATTAGAAAAGTGAAAGATGCTGCTATTCCTTTTCAATCTGCCCCCACCCACCACTCAACTGAACTCTCAGGATCTGAGAAAGACAGGCAGCACAGGCTTATGGGTGCTTACTCAGAAGCAAGCTCACTGAGTTCAATAGGGTTTGCTATGCAGTCCCAATAAAGCAGTCTGTGGAATGAGAAGAGTTACAGAATTTTATTTGCAAAAGTCAGAGGGGGAGAGTAATTTTACTCCATTTACATTCTCCAGTCTTACTGTTCCCGTTTGTTCTTTTCCTTGCAGGGAAAACATATTTCCTTCCTCCACGTTTGTCCTCTTCAGCTGGTTTTGCTTCAGCTTTTGAGCCCATGATGTTAACGATTTACTACAGGCAGAGGAAAACAAAAACACAGAGGGGGAAAATGTTGCCACAGCACTGCAAATAAAACTTATTTAAAGATATATTTCTTGTTATTTTGTCATAGAAGCTGCATTAGACTGAACTCTATTTGCCCTCTTGTGTTGTTGGGGAGCAGGGAAGGAACTGGGGACATCAAATTGATTTTCCATACTGCAGTTTTCAGCAAGGAAGATTGTCCTAAAAGCAATGGCTTCCACAAGCAAAAAAGAGGACTTCCTGGAATTTGCTTACTGTAAGATCTGCATCAAAATGAATAGAAGATGCTATTTGCTCTTTTAAAACAACAGGGATAGCTTTGATGGCACAGAACAAATTCTTTCTCACCTTAACAACTTTCTTACGAATAAGAGCCAAAGAAACTGAGAGCAAACGTCATTTGCTATGCTTTATGACTGGAGCACAGTTTCAGTCAGCTCTTCTTTTATATGTATAAAGTATGTTCAGATCAAAAGAATAGCCCACTCCATTCTTTCCTGCTCTGTAGAAATGTGTCACATACAGCAAATCACACATCCAACACAAGTACCGTAAAGGGGATGATGGGCTTTACACAGACACAGTCTTTGTACACTAACTATAGGTAGAGAGGCCCAAAGTTGGTGTTTATGGCAGCTCATTCTTCACACAGATTTTTCCATGTAGAATAGCAAAAATGTTGGTGTAGAGAAGAATGCTAATAAAGCAACTGCACACTCGTTACAATGTGTACTTTTACACAAGCGCTGTGCAAGCAGTGCTTTTATATAGAAAAGCACAACCTGAGAATTTTTCAGAAAAACAGGCAAGATTGAATCCGTGACATCACTTCTGATACCATAAATATATGCCAGAGACCTAGGCAATTTTGTGTGGTTTGTACAGATACAGCTATGTGTGTCAGTAACAGGATCAAGACACAGTAACATACTTAAAAAACATCTTCCTTACACTAAAATTAAGTCTAATTAACCACAAATGTGGTCACTTACCAGTTTTTCCCCCCACACTGACGTTCATTAATCTTTTGTTCAAATTCAACAGGAAAACTGAGGTCATCAGCTACACGTGGGCAGTGTTCTACGGGTGTCTCTGCATGCTCTTGTTTATTTGGAACACTGGCTGTAAGCAAACCCTCTTGTGTTGGTGATGCGTCATCCAGGGGGCCTTGGGCAGGCCCCTCTGTGTTTTCCATGCACATTGGAACGTCCTTCTGTTTGCTGGGACTCAGTTCTGGAGCAGTGTAGGTGCCATACCCACTGCTCGTCGAAACGCTGTTTGCAAAGCACTCCTGGTGCACAGCCGAAGCTTCTGCCTGACTCTCTGGGTTGCTGGGTGTGAGTCCGCTGGCAAAGAGCTCATTTTCCTCCAAGGTTTCAGACTGCAACCCCATTGGACTTTCTAATGAAGGCAAACTCTTCGTCAGATTGACGGGAGAGCTGAGCCTGGCACACGAACACACATTCTGGTTCTGCTGTTTCACCAAGTGTCTGATTTCATTCCGGATGCGCTACAGAGAAGAGACCAAGCCATAGTTTTAAAAACTGGAAGCGTTTCTCATTTTGCACAAAAAGAATCAACTCTCCTGAGCTCTACTGTAACTCCCCTATGACTTTCCCACGGACAAACACAACATGCAGAAATGTGTTATGGAACACAAATGAAGACTCTGAGAACTGTTCCGCTGTTGTCATTAAAACTCATTCTTGTGCACATTCTGTGTTGCTTCGCTGAGACCATAAAAGAGATTCTAATCGGGACAGATAAAAATCAATGATTTAATTTTTTTAAATAATCAAAAAAAAATCTGATTTAAAAAATGTAAATGGTGATCCAGTGCAATCTTCTAAACAAATACCGGCGGGGGGGGGGGGGGGGAGGAGTACCAGTCCAGATATATTTTGGTGAAATCAGACAACCTAAGTAACATCATCCTAGTCCAGAGAGAATCGTCATGTGAAACTGTACTAACAAAAAAAGTTTAGGAGTGTGTTAAGATGTGGAAGTCCACCTTTGTCAATGTGACATTTTAAGCAAATTCAATGGACGAAGTCTGGAGAGGCACCTCTCCTCTAACCACTTCTAATCTTGTCCATCTCACCAGTCATGGCCTTACTTCTACCCCCAATTCATATTCATCTCTACCCTTTTCCCTCCTGAGCTGAGAATCTACCACCTCTTCAAGTCAACGGGCATCCAATGGACCTAGGAAAAGATGCCATCAGCCTTTGGTCGGATTCACTAGTTTCAAGAACTTCCAACCAGCATGGTGCCTACATTAAGGGGACTCTGAACATCCTTCTTTGGAAACTAAGCCCCATCAACTTATGCTCTCGTGTAATTTCTACAGACTAGGAAATAGAAGTCTACGCGAAAATTGTAGCTCTGCAGCTCTAAGAACTAAGTTAGCAGTTTCAATATGATGTTCTGTGATCACATACGAAAATTGTGGCTCTGCAGCTCTAAGAACTAAGTTCGCAGCAAGACACCAGTTTCAATATGATGTTCTGTGATCACATTTTCCTCCCCTTGGAAGCCACAGGTCTTTAAAAAAAAACAACCACCACCACTTAACCAGTTTCATAAAACTGTTGTCCTGGTGGTATATCATGTTGCTTCTGATTTATGGAGCTCCTAACAGAGATTTTGAGTTATGTGAGATGTTCAGGAAGTGGTTTATTATTGCCCTCTCACACACCCTCACACTCACACACAGAGACTTTCCATGGTTGAAGAGAAATTTGAAGTCTTTGAGTTCTAGTCCAACGCTCTGTACTGCACCACACTGGCTCTCATGCATCTTAAAACTTAGTCAAGCATAAATATAAACATTCAGCATGACTGCAGAAACAGTGACAGTTACAGTATATGTTAGCAGCATTTTTCTACATAACCACAAATGCAGAATTCTGATTTTGCAAAACCCTGGAAATGCAGTCTTCAACACCAAGATCAAACAGGAAAGTGCTTTTCAGGATTATGCAACAAGGACTTTTATGGTGTGCACAATGACTGCCGAATTTGAAACAGACAATCTTAATTTTCAGAAAGGCCTCTGAAGCACAGACAAGCCTAGAAAATGTTGATCAGTGAATAATAAGATCAGACCATAACAACAAAGTTATCATAGACATCTACAGATGGAGAAGAAATAAGAGTATGAATGACAAACTTGTGAGACAGGAAAGAAGGAGAGAGGAAACAGGAAGGAAAAAAAAGAACAATACCTCTTTGTTATTTGTTTCAGTTTCAGGAACAGTTGGCTACTATTAGTGGAGAGGGCCATCAAGAAAGGGAAGGGAGAAACAGTAACCAAAAGGGTGTAAATATTAAAATGTAAATATGTATATAAAAACTCTAAATGTATCAAACATCTATTTTACACCATTTTACACACAGAAATACACATCGCTCCTGTGAAGTAGCGATTTGGAAGAATTTGTTACAGAAAATATTGTTACTATGCTGAGTTAACAATTTTCAACTTTAGAAAAAGCAAGTTAGCTGCACAGACATAAAACCGAAATGCGTTCAGTTTCATTTTTTTGCATGGGCCTCGTATCTCAACGTCTGGCAATAAGGAAGGGAAATAACTTTTACAGCCAGAGTATAGTAGCAGCTGTATAATGTTAAGCTCCCTGTGGGCCAGTATAGAAAAACAGAGCACCATGGCTGAAAACATAACTGTTGCGCCTAATGATGAACTGAACACTCACTCTTGAGTAACACCTAGATACTACCAATCCTAGAGAGGGCACTGCTGGTGCTTTATATTTCTGGGAGACTGAGATGTGAATGTTTACTTTTGGATTACAAAGAGTAAAAATAATGATTTTTTTTTAAAAACTACATGTCAGATGTATCAAATAATGACAGCAATATGCATCAGAATAGAATAAATTCAAAACAAAAATACCGTTTCCCCGTTTGAAAGAGTTAAGCATTACAGTATTGCATTACCTTAAAATGAGGATAGATACTCACCTCTGCTCTAATACACATGCACACAAAGCACACTACAGAACAGCAAAGACCCATGTGCGCATGGGAAACATACCAAGCAATACGATTTTTTTGGAAGAAAAGATTTTAAAAGTCATCTACTGCCTCACATACAAAAGCCACAAACAATCACGGCGCACCTAAGAGAAATCATGCTCTTCTTTAGCTTAGGAAGCACTACAGTCAAAAGCAAGGGAAGGTATCAAAACTATAGGAGTCCATACTTTGTACAAATATATTCTGGAAATCCAAGATGTAAAATGCTTTTTAAAGATACAGACTGCTGCCCAGGATCCCTCATACGCTAAAAAAAGAAAAGAAAAGAAAAAAACAGAATGTGACACAAGCTTCCAATAAACAAGCTGGCCAACTCTGAGAAACTAAGAAATGTACTGTGACAAATTTTTGAAGATTGTCCCAATTTCAACAGATGAATGAAGCAGTATCTCAAACTGGCCTGGATATGAGCACTTCTACCTGGTCACACGCACACCAGATTTATAACATACGAGGACCACCTCATAAGCATTTTCTTCTGTATACCTACATGCGTTATGCATGGGTGCACAGAGCCTTCTGCCACTGAAGATTCTCCTTCATCTTTCTAACTTCCTAAGAGGAGCTAATGAAGACTCACATCCCAAGCAAATCTCCACACTTTCCTTGAAACACCAGTCTCGCCGTTTTAAGAACCAGTGCAATGTGGTTGTGTAAATCAAAATACTTACATGGATTTGATGATAGAACACTTTTTGCTGGGCAATTATTTGTTCTTGGCATTGCTTCTCCACCAGTCTGAACAACCGCAGCCACCTGGTCTATTAAAATGAAATTATTTCAAAATAAATACAATAGTCTTAATTTTTATACCTCCTCCAGCAGAGGAAAGCTTAGTCTCAGACACAGGGAAAGACATCTCCCAAGTTCTATAACAGGCCTAAGTGATAAAACGACCCATTGTCTAAGATCTGCACAGATGTGAGAAAGCCTCAGTACAGAATGGAAGTTTAAACAAATTTTGAATCCCAAGGAATTGCTGTCATATTAGTCCATTTAAATCTTCACAGTTGCAGAAATGTCAACACCTGGCTGGCAACATAAAAAGACAACAAACCTAGCTGCTTTGCTTATTTAGTGTATAAAGTGCGTTATGGAACTACAGACAGCTTTGAGCAGAAACAGGCATGCTAGGCTATGCAGTTTTATTTTATTTATTACATTTATAACCCACCCGTCTAACATAAAGCAGATTCAACACAGCATACAATATTCATATTAGGATAAAAACCAAATAAAACCAAATTTAACCATAAAACAATAAAATCAAGCAAAAAAAACCACACTATGAAAACCATTAGCATCAACTAAATGCATTAAAGCAAAACAAAACAATGTGTACATTCAGAAACAACACAACCAGGCAAGTCAAACCTCATATATCATCTAAAACTATGTGTTTTAGGCCCTTCTTAAAATCTGTGAAATTAAAACTCATCACAACTCTGAAGGAAGTGCTTTCCACAGCCTGGGAGTCACACAGGAGAAAGTTCTCCCCTATATGTCTCTGAAACTGGTGGCATTCTGAAGAGAGCCTCTCCTGAATATCTTAACATCCAGACAGGCTCACCATGAGATAAGAAGGTGCCTTTAGAGATATCCAGAGGATGCTGCACTGGGGGGGGGGTGCAACCGTGAGCTGCAAGTGGCCCAGTCCTGTCCTTAGCAAAACCAAACTTATACCACATTTTCAGCACATCACAGTTAAAGTGTAAACTATTATACCAATTTTCAGAATAAATTGATTTCATAAAGTTATATATTTTTATGCCATCATCATCACTAGGAAACTGTTTTTTCCAAAAGAGAGAGAGACTTCTACATACCTCACAATTCTTCAATATTTCTGAATCACCATTACTCTGAGCATCTTGCATGAAGGAAGTCAGCAGATCAAGCTCACTCGTCATGACTGAACAGCCAGTTTTCCCTGAGAAATTGGAGACGCCATTTGGGTGGCACGAGGGGTTACTCCTGTGGGAATAAAACCATGTGAATTATTTATTAAGTCAAATGTCAAATGAAACCGTCCCCACAGCACTACAGTAACACCGCAACTCACTCAGTGACCATTAAGGAGCAAGCCACAGAAAACACACCTGTCCAAAGAGTTAAGAGGGTTCCCAAACCTAAACAAAACTTTTCAAAGCTTGTAAAAATAAATGCCTTATCAATGAAAATTAGGATATTGCACACAAACGCACATATACTGTACTTTCTTTTACTGCTTTATCAAAGGTCTCCTGGTACAGATTCTTGTTCAATAAAGACAAATAAGCACCAGTCTTAGAAACATCCATTTAAATTAGGTTTTTGATGCAGCTGTAATACAGTATTTTGGGAGTCACGGAAATAGAATAGTGTCTACTGAGTTTTTGGTTTCAAGCTCATCAAATTTTTCTTTACTGATTATTGCACAATTTACACTACTCTATTTTTCAACTATGTTTCTCCATGTGCCTTTTCTCCATGTACCCTCTTTTCCTAACAAGTAAAAAAAATCTAAAAATATTCAAAGTTTAATTTAAATGAACAATATTTATTATATAATGCATTTTATGCATCAAGCCTTACCCCCACCATCACCTATTTCCATAATATGTAGATACATTTTTGTGAGTTATTCCACAATGACCCATGGAAAAACTACAGTGGGTAGTCTTATAATGCCATTACTGTATGTTTTATTACATTTCACATCCTTTTTTTCCTGGAGGACTGATATATAAATTGTACTTTAACAAACTCAAATAATTTTGGACAAGCATAGGAACAACTTTCTTTTCTAAAATACAGTACAAGCCTTTTTACTCAGTTTTCAAAGCTGAATTTGAGAAAGACTGAAGGCTTGAAAGGCATACAAGACATGCATTAAAAATAAAGAAACACACAACGTAGCCCATCAAGTTTACCTGTTATTACTTAAGTTATACTCAACAGGGTTGTGAGCATTTCTGTTAGTAGTGTTCGTAGAAGCAGCCTCTTGCTCAATTTTCACCAAGCCCACATTTTCCATATCTCATGTTTGCAAAAGCTGGGCTTATCCTTTCAAACAAGAAAAAGACAATATGGCCATATTAAAATAACTCAGATTCATTGTCAGAAACCACAGAATCTGGGCAGTTGTTCTCTCTTTGGGATAATGTCCAGAATCTAACTTCAGAAGCTACAACATATCTTCAGCACTAAATGTGGAATAAAAACAAAGCAGCTGCATGACTGATCCAGATCAACTGCTTCCCAGTTTCAGTATCCGGAGGTCAGCAAAGAATATTTGCTGATTCTTACCAATGAATCCAGCAATATTTCTCTACAGGACAACTGAACAGAGACAGGATGCGTAGTTTGTCTAGAGGATGCCTCCTACCATTTCACACCACTGGTATACAGACTAAAGCTAATGAGAGCTACAACCCATCAACATCTAGAGGGCCACACAGTCCTCAATTGTGCAATACACTGTGCTGGCCCCACAAGCTACATTCTCTTGAACAGGCTACATCTCCTGAACAAATCATCTATTTAAACACATGGCCTAGGCACCATAAAACAACATCAACCATCATGGACACCCATCACATTACAGTCAAATACCTTTCTACTGAACTCATTTTATCAGCATATCTGGATCCAACAGAAACAGCACATTACAAAGGGTAAGGAATTCTCTACTGTTACAAACAAATGTTGGAAAGCCAGGAATTAACGATATTCTAGCACATTTTGCCTGACCTACTTTCTCCCTTCCACAACGCTTATTCATGAATTATTTGCACGACATCCTTATTCTCCAAAGCAAAGCCCAAGCACTTACAACACTCTCCTGTAGAACTACAGTACTTAATTTAATCTTTTATTTTCAGCGCAAAATATTGAACAGTATCACCAAACATAAGATTAGATAAAAAGATTAAACTGTAAGACCAACAAAAGCATTATACATGTTCAGGAAAAGCAATGTATACCGACGAAGATATTTTAATATTATCATAGAATGATAAATCATCAAGAAAAAGTAACTCTGTTGTTATCATCCTAATGAAGCCTCGAAGCAAAGTCTGCTCTTTTTTCAACCCTTCACATATCAAGCATTGTGCTATTCTTCTTTCCTGTATTTTACTGTATACCTCTTGCCATATAGCAATGGATTATAGCTATTATGTAACCATTTCTACATAGACTTTCTCTCCATAAATACTTGAATTGGTTTATATAAAAAAAGGAAATTAACAGTATTGAAGACAAAAACAATTATTTACTTAGTTTATTACTTTATTCTTATTTTCTTTCTATAAGACAAGCTTATTAAAGCTAAACCTACAAATAAAATACGGAGAGGACAGTAACAAACACATGCATCTCAGCTATATGTGACACATAAGAAGAGATGTCCAGCCCACAGAATACAACTGACACAGACACAGGTGTAATTATAAAATGAACAAGCAATAGTCTCTGAAAGGCTCTTTAAAAGAAAAGAAAAAGAAAAAGCACAACTATCTACATATGAAACCTCTCTGCTGACCAAACAAAGGATCTGGGTCTATCAAATCAATACTCCAATCATCAGAGATCTACCTATGGAACAAATTAAGTCTTCCAGGTTCAGAATCTGGTGGAGTGCCATGTAACAAGTTAGCTCTAGCATTTAAGAACCTGCCAAATCAGTATTGGCTATATAAATGGGAGTTGGACCATCTGCCTTGTGGAACTAGAGGTTTGGAGCTCAGCTCCCCAGTGGGCATCCTGAGAGAGAAGCCAACCTGTGTGGCCTTGAGCAAGCCGCCCAGTCCCACAGCGCTCCTAGAAGAAAACACTGGTAAATCACTTCTGAGTACTGTACTACTTCATACTCTGAAAACCCTGAGCAAGGTTAAAATCCACTTGGTAGCCAGCAACTAATTAATCAGGGATGAGGAATCAATCCTTGGCCCTCCTCCTATTGTGGATTTCAACTTCCACAAATCTTTGACCACAAGCCGTGGTGGCCTCCAGGGAGCAAACATCCAAAACATCTGGAGGGGCGCCGTGGTGGCCTCCAGGAGCAAACATCCAAAACATCTGGAGGGGCTGAGGCCAGAACCCAGATGAGATACAATGTAGGAAGCCATCCAGCAGATCTGAGAGCCCTTGATGTTGCTGGACCGCAACTCCCATCATCCCCCTCCAGACTGATGGGGCACTACAATCCAAGGTATCTGGAGGGCCAAAGGTTCCCCAGCCATGATTTACAATATATTGTACTGTAATGGAAAGTTAACACGGAAACATTGGACAGAACCATTTCTTTAAGGCACATGAACAGCCTATAATACTATATATTCATCATCCCAAGGCAGCCTCCAAGCCTCTTTTTTCAACCCCTGCTATCTCAAAGCGTTGGCACGATTCCTTTCATTTCCCTGTAGCTCCTTTCAATTCCCTATAGCTTTTCTCCCATATAGCGCCAGATTTACTGCTATTGCGTAACTCTACGGACCTCGACTTTCTCTACATAAACAAAATAACAGTAATAAAATAGAAGGGAATTAAAGGCGTTGAAGACAAACATTTCTATCGGACGACTTTAAAACAACAGCCAAGCGCTTGCTGACGAGAGCGGGCTGTACTTTGAGGCAGCGGATAAGTGAATCAGCGGATAAGGCGGGCTCTGCCCTATATCTCGTCTACTACCTCCACTTTTGCATTGCCAACAACCCTGCAAGGGAGACTAATGACAGCGACTGGTTCTATATTCACCCTTTAAGACTCGGGAGGGCTGACGTTGGGACTCGAAACAACGAACCGCCCGACGAACCAACACGAACCTTGCACCAAGGATATCCAACGACAACCCCACGTCCTCCTCCGGACCCACTTTTCCGAGGATTTTCCTCTTTTCTTCCCCCAAATTCCGTCAGCCCCGCCCACCCCGTCTAAAACTTATTGGCTCCGTCTCCGGCGTCGAGAGCCACTTCAGCCGCTGATTGGCTCCCGCGAAAGTCACTCGAAGCCTAGGGGGCGTTCCCTTAAGAGGGAAACCAGGACACCGGAGGGCCCGAGCAAACCTCCCGTGACGCGTCGCAGCAGAAACCGTTACTTCCCCCCCCCCGCTCTCGGGCATGCCCGGCCCTTACCTGCATTGCGTCTCGGAAAGGACAATATTTTTTTCTCTTCTCTTTTACCTCAGGAGAGCGCCCGCCGGAGTGTAAACAACCTCCCCCCCCCACACACACAAACACCTCAGGATTGGCGGTTGAGATTCGAAGCGCTTCAGGCAGACGCCGAAGGGGGGGTGTCTTCAAGCGCCTCTCAGGCGGCCGGCGATTGGCTGGCGCGAGAGCGGCGCCGCCACTCGATTGGCTGACGGGAGCGGTGAAAGTGGAGGGAGCGGGGCGGGGCAAAAGGGGGATGTGCGCGTGCCGACGGCGTGGGCGGGCCGCGCGGCCATTGGGCGGTACGGTCTCGCGCCCTGAAGCCCTCGGAGCGGTGAGTGGGCGACGGGAGAGGGACAGGGAGCTTCGCTCTGCGATTGGCTCGTGCTCGGGACGGAGGCCCCGCCCCCTTTTCCTATTGGGAGCTCCGTTTCTTTTCCGAGAGTACTGTACGTCGCGCGGTGTTGAAGGCGAGGACAGGGGCGCATGCGCAGAAGCGAGGCTCGCTCTATGCTAGGTGGCTGTAAGTTAAAAAAAAATCAGCAGAGCTGTTTGGTTCTTTTTTTCTCTCTCTAAACAGGGCGGGAGTGGGAGGCAGAGACGCGGATCGTGCAGGGAGGGGGCAGTATAGTGCAGTGGTTAAGAGTTTGCCCGGAAAGGTTAAAAAAAATTACATAGGACACCTGGGTTCTAGCCCCAGCTGTCCTATGGAGGAATCTTAGGACTACCTTGCAGGGTGGTTGTGAGCAAAAAGTAGGGGAGGCCATTTAGACTTCTTTTGCCTTCCTTGGAGGGGAAACGTGGACTAGGAAGGCGGCGATCAAGGCCTTCAGGTCACTGGGAGAAGGAAGCTCTGGCGGGGTGGGGGGCTTGCCCTTCAGGTGTGGGATTGCTTTTGCAGAGCAATCCCGGGTTGCTTCTCCCATTGACTGCAGGCAGAGGCAGGGGAGGGAGCCCAAAGAGGCGGGTGCCTCCTGCTGTTGCAAGCCAAAGCTTCTCCCATGCAGGCAGAGGCAGGGGAGGGAGCCCAAAGAGGCGGGTGCCTCCTGCTGTTGCAAGCCAAAGATCTGGATCGGTGGTTCTTAACCTTGGCTTACTCAGGTGTTTTTGAACTGCAACTCCCGGAAACCCCAGCCAGCACCGCTGGTGGTGAAGGCTTCTGGGAGTTGCAGTCCAAAAACACTTGAGTAAACCCAAGGTTAAGAACCACTGATCTAGAAGGGCCCCCACCCATGTGTGCAGCCTTTGGAGGCCAGCAGGGCTCTTTTAGAGCTTCCAACTCAAAAGGCAGGCAGAGAGAGAGAGAGATCCGAAAAGGAGCCAGCCGCTGCCTTCTCACTGGGGCATGGAAAGAGGGGTGCACCGGTTTTCACAAGCAAGAGAGAAGAGGCCCCTCTTCCGTGTTTCCCACAAGGAGCCTTCCTCCCCCCCCCCCCCCCACGTGTGCAGCCTTTGAAGGCCAGCAGGGCTCTTTTAGCTGAGAGGATCCTCTGCTTAAAATCTTTATTCTGGAAAGCCTGGTGCAGGAAGAAGGGAGCAGCGCCTGCTGTCTCTCTTACCATGAGGAGCTGCGGTTAAGTGGCCTGGCCTCGGGCTGCAACGCTGCATTGGATCTTCCTGGCAGTTCCTGAAGTGGGAATCAGGCTGCAGGTTTCCCCCCCACACACTTCACTTCCTCCCTTGGCAACGGATGTAGCCGATTGTGACTTCATTGCAGAGGGAGAGAAGGTCGAGGACAGAGGAGGGACGAAGAAGAGGCCTTTTTAAAAAAAAGAAAGATTCCTCTAAGAAATGCTTCAGAGCCACTCTTAGGAGGTACTTGTTTATATAGCATTTCCATAGGTCCTGAGGAAACGTTAGTTAATCAGGAACACCATATTGTTGGAATAGAGAAGCTGAATGTTGGTTCGCAGCAGTTGGCCCTGTATTGCTCTGTGATGGTTTTATAACTGCAGGGCTGGAAGGGACCCAATGGATCATCCAGTCCAGCCCCTGTCAAGGAGGCACAGAGGGGGGATTCGAACCCCCAACCTCTGGCTCTGGAGCTAGAGACCTAAGCCAGTGAGCTATCCCAGGAATGGGATTCTGAGCTGGAAATGCTTCGAGTCTGCATCTCCCAGGGAGCAGAGGATCACAGACATGTTGGGATTGATTAAAGTTGACCCGGGCGGTTGGGGGGGGGGTTGAAGTCCAACTTGTAAAACATTACCTTAACATTTCTATCTTCAAAGCTGTCCTGGCATCTTGAATTTACAGCACAAACACAACATGGCTCCAATGTGTTGTTTCTTGATCTAGTGATTCCAGTGTCTGATTGATTTATTTTTAATGTTCACTCTTGAGCTTTTTCAGTTTGGATTTTAAAAGTCGACCAGATTTTCTTTTTTTCTATTCCCAGCCGCATTTCTTCTTGACCGTATCCAAAGAGGGTAATGTGATTTGGGTTCATCTACTTGTTAACATAGCTGCTGCCGGTAGTCACAGAAAACGGGTCTGCCTGGGACCTTTCAAATTCCATCTGCCTGAGATGATGAAATGGGATGCCCTATCCCTCTGTGTACGTTGGTCATGCCCTCCCTCGTTCCCCTGGCTAAGCAGCACCTCTGGAATCTCTTCTGTTATCTCCGGCAGGGGAGAGGGACGGGACAAAGTGGAGAAGTAACCAAAAGACAGAGAGCTGCAGACTTTGTATTTGGCTGCATTGTTAGGAAACAGTGCTGAGCTTCGAGGTGTAATGTGACCACCCCAAGCAAGAGTTTTTCCTCCCATTGTTTGGCCTCTTAATTTCCAGGTGATTCTCTTCCTTTTGATAAATCTGATTTTCACAATGTACTTAAGGCATATGTTTTGAAAAAAGATTCACAGAGTGCTTCTGTATATCTTTAACCCGTAACAGAAGACTCATGACAAAAGAGGAGCAGGGCCAACCCCTATAAACCCGCTTTTTTGTGGAGGCAGCAGAATTGTCTCTTGGTTTCTAGTGTCGCACAAGTGAATTGAACTGCTGGATCAACCTACTGCCGTGCCAATAATGCAGAATGGTTTGTGATTTTGTGCTGACCCAGCGGCCAGGGTTTCATCTCCAGACACGGCCGTTGTTCAGATTAGGCTGTCCAGTCTTGCATCTTTGATCATTTGCAAGCAGGGATGTTGTCAGAAAAAAAAGAGAGACAGGCGTTGGAAAAGTTAATTATCCTAGTCCTCTTGGAAAAGATTCACTGTAGCCGTGTGCTGAGAAAACAGTTGTACCACTGAATGATACTTTAATTTAATTTATTTAAAATATTTTTACCCCACCTTTCCTCCTTAAAAGGATCCAAAGTGGCTTACATTATGAACTTTGAGGAGGGAGGTGAAATTTAAGAGGAGCCCTTGCTTCCTTTGAGGAGGGAGAGGTGAAATTTAAGAGGAGCCCTTGCTTCTCCACCCCCTCCAGAGTACTGAATTTAATGGCATGCCAGAGACCTTCAAAACTGAGCAGTGAGGCTGTGAGTTTTAAGAACACCATCCTATCACTGCTCAGTCATGGATGGCTTCACGACATTGTTTCCTTTATTATTATTTTTTAAAAATAAAGAAAACCTTTCCAACTTTGGTTCAATGTATAGGAAAGGCTAGTAAGGGGTGTGGAATGGGATGGGTGACCCGCTTACCCGTTCCACCCTGTTGCCTGCTATGCTTTGTGGCCACATGTTGACAGAAGTGCAGTTTGGTTCAGTGTATAGGACAGGCTAGTAAGGGGTGTGGAGTGGGATGGGTGACCCGCTACCCGTTCCACCCTGTTGCCTGCCATGCTTTGTGGCCACATGTTGACAGAAGTGGGTGGGATTAAGTCACTAGACATGATACCATTTCTTTCAGCAGTAAATCCTCCCTGGAATGCAATTGCATAAGGCCAGGTCAGCAAAGTTAGTGAAAACAGACAGCTGACCATTCCGCATTGTATTGGGAGGTGGCGGAATACGGGCCTTATCCCCTCCCAAGGAGAAAAGGCTTAGGAGCACACTGCCGTTAAAACACATGGAATGTTGCAGACTCTCAGGGAATCAGCTTTTAAATCCTGCTTTAATGATATAAGCTGACTTGGGTCCTTTTGGAGAGAAAGACAGGATAGACATATTTTAAATAAAGGATCATTAATCAATGCTTTTTCTGCTCTCTTTTTCAGAATTAAGAGTCCTCTTCTGTTGGTTGTGTTCATGTCCCGTTCAAGCTTTCTGCTTTTCACGGACTCTTTGACTAGGCTCAGCGGTTTCCTTTGGGGGTCACATCGGTTGAGAAGGCAGCATTTTTTACTGCCTCGGTGCTCCGGACCGTTGCTCTTTCCAAAGGGCAAGAAGACCTCTGCTCAGCTCCTTCCCCTCAATGAAGCGGATTTAGAAGAGCAGCTGGTTCGTGGCTCCGGGCCCGGAGGCCAAGCGACAAATAAGACCAGTAACTGCGTGGTCCTGAAGCACCTTCCCTCGGGCATCGTTGTCAAGGTGATGGGTTTGGTGTGGTTCTGCATCCAGTTCTCTTTCAAAGGCCTGTTTTTCTTCTGCGTACTTGCATACGTTACTTTACATGGCCTGGAATGTGCCTCGAGACAGGTTTGAAAGCACCTGATCCTGTGATCGCCTGTGGCGAGCAAACGGCATGTCCAGGTGAATAGACAGGAAGCTTTCATGCTACAAATGGTTCATCGGCTCAGGTGGTCCCATAAGGTCATAAAAAAGGCATGTACACTCATCACAAAAGTGTTGGGTACACTGCCCACACCGTGGGGTTTACCATCGCTTAGAACTGAACCTACAATTCAGTTCTTTCATTTGGATTCTCACACCCTGTTGCTTTAGAAATCCCAGGGATGCATTCCATCCAGCAGTAGGGATCCTCTGGAAGGAAAAAAAAACATATTTGCAAAGGAGAGGCTGCAGTGCTCTCAGTAAACGTATCCTTTATTTCCCCCTCCCTCCACAGTGTCATCAGACAAGATCCGTGGAGGACAACCGTAAGAAAGCCAGAGAGATCCTGCAGGAAAAAGTGGATATTTTCTATAAAGGTGACGCCAGTGATGTCATTAAGGAACAGCGGGAGTTGGAGAGAAAAAAGGAAGCTAAGAAAAAGGAAGCTAAGAAGAACCTTGAAAGGAAAAAGCAGCTGAAGGAGATGAAAGCATTGGAAGAAAAATAAGAATTTGGGCAATTTCTGGGGTTTTGGGACATCCAGCGACCACCACCCCAACACACACACTTCTGATACAGGCCCAGTTGTGATTTCTTGTTGTACTAGCTCAGGATTCCAAGCAGCTTTTCTAGAACAATATATGGTTACGTTTTCCACTGTATTTGTTCCTTCATCCCATCTTGCTTTCTGCGATGGGTTAGATCGCAGGAGAAGTGAAGCAGCTAAGCCTGCAAGCACAGCTTTTCTCATAAAAATCCCTCGTTTGTTTGGGCGTTGGGGGGCGTGAGTACCACCACTTACACCTCCTTTTCAGTGTAACAGATCAGTTGACATCCTGAGGGACAAGATCCCGGAAGGATGATGGCAGGAGGATCTAAGAATACAAATTATTACTGAAAATAAGCTTTTATTACATTAAGTAATAAATACATACAAAGATGCAAAGTCGCCATTTTTAATCTAGTTGTAAGAGATGGGAGTTCTTTGGAGGCCTGTCATAGGTCGGAAGAGGGTGCCTGGTTGAGGGGGCAGATTGTAGAACTTTTAATGTGCACTTTTATTGAACTTTAAAAACATCCATAGTCATGCAAAAAAAGGGGGGGGTGGAATCAATTTTTAGTTGAATTTATGTTATTTCAACCAAAATAGAGGAATTGGCTACTGTTTGGGGAAAAAAGAACAGATAATCTCTGTATTGAACATTTTTTTAAAAAAAAAGATCTTACAGCTTAGTTGTAAGACAAGGCAAATGTAAGGTTGGGGGTATATTAAGGCGGTTATTTTCAAATATTTTGCTTTCAAGGAATCCTCTTGTGCTATCGACTGTCCTGTGACGCCCCAAAAGCTTGCTGTTAGAAGTCGGCACTGTTGCAGAATATTCCGGAATGCAGTGGTTTCGTTGGTCTTGATTCTTCCCGTGGGATTCTGGCTGGGTCACGCATATGCCCCCCCCCCACATGGAGAGACAGCCGGGCTCCGTAGCTCACACTCCTCTGTATGTTACAAGATTTATACCAGCAGAGAAGCTGTATTCCAGGAAAACATGTCCGCTGTCATCCGTCTTGTCAGCAGGAAGCCCACAGAAAGCTCCGGGTTGTTTCCCAACTTCTATGGAATGTGATTTGGAAAAAAAAATTATTGAATTGTGAGAATATTATTTGTTGAAGAAACAAAACTTGAGACAGGAGACAGAGCGGAAGGTTCAGAAATGACTCTGCCTTCCAATCTTGTTCCTTCTTAAAATCTCCCATTCTGATTCAGGAAGTGTCCTCACTCAAATATTGCAAACACCATGCTGAACAAGAGGAAAGAGAATCTTGTTCATCTTGACAGTGGCCAATTTTTTTTTTTAAGCGAGAGGTGTTCCATTTGACCGGGGGTCCTTTGGACCTTTCTGAGAGAGAAGCATGCCTCCCCCGGCTGCCCGGTGAACTGCTTTTGAAAATCGGGGGAATGTCGCACACCCTGAGATGTTCATTTCTTAAAAGGCATTGGCAGAGGGGGATCCAAAATTTGCACTGTAGGGCACGCAAGCCCTTGGGTGTGTCCTGAACAAGCTCTTTGGATCCCAGCCCACATTCCTGAAAAGGGTAACGCCAGGCGGGGGGAGAAAATAGAACAGCCAAATGAAGAGATTTGTCAGAAAGGTTCCAGTCTCCAAAGTCATCTGTGTCTCTCTTGCAAAAACTGAAAGAAGGAAAGGCAGGAAGGGGGAAAATCTTGCATCCACGAGAGGGGCTAGGATCTTGCATTTCGCTCGGTTTCTGCCAGGCACTCTCTGACCAGTCCTCTTGCATGAATGATGCCTGAAAAACAAACCAAAATAGTGTCCGCTTGAATTCTGAACGTTCCTTTAACTGAGCATGTATAATCATTGTTTAGGATCAAAATAAGGAAGAACTCTTAGCAGGGAAATTAAAAAGCCATTGCACAGTCCAGCGGAAGATTGTCCTTTGCAGCCTTAAGCTGAAAGGACAAGCCCTGCTTTTAATTCATAGGCCAACAATTATCAGAAGTTCTGTCCTGGTGGTAAACAGGAAGGACCGTCTATAGGCTCCCACACAGAACAGCCTTTTAAATTTTTTTAAGCCACTGTTCACAAAAGTGAAGCAAGGTGTCTAGTCTTTCACAGTGATGCTTAGATATGATCCCCATCATTGCAGGGGGCTCGCTGTTGCACCCCAGAGTGTGAGCCCCCATTCAGCTTCCTGACCACAGATATAAATGTTTAGGCTCCAGGTTAGGGACGTGGTGGCGCTGTGGGCTAAACCGCAGAAGCCTGTGCTGCAGGATCAGAAGACCAAGCAGTTGTAAGATCGAATCCGCGCGACAGAGTGAGCGCCCGTTGCTTGTCCCAGCTCCCGCCAACCTAGCGGTTCGAAAGCATGCAAATGCGAGTAGATAAATAGGGACCACCTCGGTGGGAAGCTAAACAGCGTTCCGTGTCTAAATCACACTGGCCATGTGACCACGGAAAGATTGTCTTCGGACAAACGCTGGCTCTATGGCTTGAAGAGCGGGATGATCGCCGCCCCCTAGAGTCGGACACGACTGGACAAAAATTGTCAAGGGGAACCTTTACCTTTACCTTTTTTTTAGAACTCTTTTTAAAGCTCCACAGGGTAGGGAGAAAGAATCTATAGGTGATCTGGCTTATGGTTTATAAATGAGGTCAGCCAACATGAATCAGTAAGTCCACTGCTTTCCTAGATTCTGTCTGGTCTCCAAAAAGACCTGCTACAGCGCTTCAGAGATCGAATCTGGGTTTAACCCCAGGCCGCCTTCTGTCTTGCCTGTCTGGTCCCAATTGGAACTTGTTGGATCTTCCTACCAGCAATGTGGTTTTAGTCTGGCCAGGACTTGAGCGAAGCTGCCTTCTGCAGAAATGGGTTCGGAAAGCAAAAGCGAAGCTTGGAAAATTGTGTTGTTGTTTTTTTTAAAAAAAAGGTATCCTAGTGTTATTTGTCATGATGTTATTAAAAGCAAGTCCTTGTTCGGCCGCTTGTTCCAAGGGCAGAAGGGTTGAGAAAAGAATAGCAGGGAACACAGACCAAACCCTGTCCAAAACACTTCTTAAATATCCCTTTAAAAGGAACTAGTGAGTCACTGGAAAACAACTGGTTGTGCCAAGGGAGCAAGCTCGTTTGTAATCCTTCTGCTCCTTTTGGGATGTAGCTTTCTTATACTCTGACTGCTATCCAAAAAAAGCAACTGCCGTATTTTTCGCTCCATAAGATGCACCAATTTTTTAGGAGAAGAAAACAAGAAAAAAATAATCTGGGAATTTCGGCCTGCTGGGCCAACAGGGGTGAGGGTGGGGGAAAGCCTCCACAGGGTCTGAGAGTCCCTTCCAGGGTCCTGGAATTAAGATTGGAAGGGTCCTGGAACGTATCCTAGGACCCTTTGGAGGTTCACCCAGCCCCCCGCAGGGCCAGAGGGGACAAAATTGCCACCTTCAGGGACTCTTCTGAAGCTTCCCAAGCCTTAAAAGAGTCCCTGAAGGTGGCGATTTCACTCCATAAGATGTATACACTTTTCCCCCTGACATTTTTGGGGAAAAAGTGTGTCTTATGGACCGAAAAATACAGTAATTCCAGGGGACTGATAACCATCTAGTTGTAACCTATTACTTCCAGAGTTTGCAGAGTTTATGAACACACCCGTGTATAATGCATCCTGTTTGTTATTCCTTTGCAAAGACTAGATGCCTATAAGTGGATCAGACAGCCTTTTAATTCCTCGGTTACCTCTTGGGATTCAGACTAAATCAGATGCCATCGACTGCTAGCTCTTCAACCCAGACTTGGTCATAAACCTTTATTAAATAATTTGTACATTGCTAAGTTTTTCATCATAACTTTGTAAACTAGAAAACTTACTCAACTATTCAAAATAACACAGATGAATAAAAAAAGGGGGGATTGTCTTCTTCTCAAAAAAGTAGCAGGATTACCTCGTTTTAGCCTTTCCATGGCACTTTTACTTCCGGCGTAGGTAGGCCTAATTTCTTTCCCTAATTCTTCAATGATGGCCAAAAGTTCTGCATACTTGCTCTGCGGTACTTGGCTGCTACTCGTTCCCTGCTGGGAGAGGGACATGGGGTCTGAATTAGATCAGAGCAAGTCACAAGGGCCAGCAGAAGCACCGTTTCAGATCCGTGCATTCATTCATCGCCAAACAAGGGTGTACTCCTAGGCATGCTTATTCAGAAGTTAAGTCTCCCCGTTTTGTTTTTTTGCTCTTCTGTAGGTCTGCCTGGGATTTCAGCCTTGAATGAGTGGGTTCCTACTTAGAAAAGTCATTCAGCACAGGCCAGGCGGTCAGATTGCAAAGCCTTACTCCAGAGTAAATTAGTTTTAAAACGGAGTTCTCTATACCCTATTTGAGATGCGCACGAACGGCAGGTTTCGTGGATGGTTCAAAAGGTTTGGGGTTTTCCAGAGTTTGGAGCCAAGTCCTGCCCCCCTCCAGCAGGCGCTCACTCAGAAGCAGCGCCCAGGCTTCACTGCCCTGCCTCCTCCAGGCACTGCCTCTCAATGGGCGGCTGCTGGAGGAGGCGAGATGCCGAACCCCCTGTTCAGCAAACCGTTGGATCCATGCCCATCTCTATATCCTACCCAGACTTCAGCCTGATGTGTCGAGACTACCATTCTCATCAGCTCCAGCCCACTCAAGACCATTTTGGTAATCATGGGACTTGTAGTCCAATATCTGGGGAAAGTGGGTTGAATGAGTGGGTTCATCTTCTTTGAGTCTTCATAGAATTTTATCCCCTGGGACATAAGACTGCGTTCTCTCTTTTTCTTTCTTTTCTCCCTCCAGAACATTATTTGTTTTAAATAAAGTTGTTGTCAGTAGGGGATCAGGTAGAACTTGTCTGAGACAGCTGAGACGCTTGGATCAACGGAGCTGTTGAAAAGCCCATCTACCTGGAAGCCGTCTCGGGGCACTCTGTGGCATTTAAAGTGAATGAATAAACATGCCCAGGGTCATCCTGTAAATTCCACCTCTCCTCTGAAAGCACCCTCTGCTTAAAACATGCAAATGCCCAACCTCTTTAACTCAGCCGTTTCAGAGTAACTCGTACAATATTAATTTTAATCCACCCAATCACCAGATGAAAACAAGATCAGGCTATCAATATTAAAAACAAACATCACAAGTCCAAGGATACATAAAAAGCCAGATTTAATAATTTTTTCCCCTCTTTACCTGCACTCCTTGATTATAGCCTAGAGACGGGGGTCCGTAGTCATTTATAAGCTGTCTGTATTGTCCAGAACCCGCCATGCTTGTAGAAGGAGAGTGAACACTCCCAGCTTTGGAAAAAAAAAGTATAAAAAGCAAGAGTGATTAATTTCTAAAAGGCAGATTCATCAATATACATTAACATAAATTTTGGAACAAAACCAACACCTTTCTTCCTCACCCCGTTAAGAGCCATTAGAAACTGCAGTGGTAATGCAGAGATAAAAACTGATTCCAGAAGCTTGGTTATTTTGTCTTCATGAGCAGAAATATGGGGCAGACAAGAAGCAATGGCAGCTTATAATGACCGGGCATTTACTGAAAGAAAATAACTCTGTGTGTACCTGTGAATGGATCAAGGTTGGAATGACCCCCATGTGACAAATGGAGGAGACAAAATGGGATAGAAAACAACATTTAGCCTGGGCCAAATGTGACCTGCAAAATATAATCTTGAGGGTACTCGTCGTGACGTTAAGCAGACTTCCCAAGGGCGTGGGAGAGAACACTGTCGGAAAGGCTGATTCCCTTGGAGGAGTGGGGCATGTCAAGGAAGGGGTTGAACTCTTTGTCCTTTTAAAAAAAAGAAGGTGCTACCGACCATGATAGCAGGACCTCACCGGTCGGAGCCACTCATTCCTGGAATTGCTGAAGAGTGCCATCAGCCTTGACCACGAACACTATCTCTTGAGTAGGGGTGGGCATGTAGCTTCCTGTTGGTCAATGGGCCACAGAGATCTCTCTTCATGAACACCCGGAGTCGCTTTATCCCAAAATAGACCATCGAACAATGTAGCTCATGACCGTCGGCACAGAATAACTCTTTACGGTTCAAGCAAAAGAATATTAAGAGGGGAGAAAAATGCTGGACTGTGCCGAAACCATGGTCTAATCTGGTATTCAGTTCACACAATGACTTATCTATTACTTCTAGGACGTCTACAGATGGGGCATGAACACAAGCGCACCCTTTCGTGGTCTTGTGTTCTGGAACAAACAGTAGATAGAGAGAAATACAGTACAGCCTCTAATGCCAGAGGCGATATATACCGGTAAGTATTCTCACTAATTGCATTTAGATTACCAATTGGCAAGATGGGCAATATAGAAATCAAACAAGCTCACAAATGAATGAATGAATGAATGAATGAATGAATGAATGAAATGAATGAATGAATGAATGAATGAATGAATGAATGCAGTTGAGGTGCTTAATCTTTGTGAATTTGTCTAATCCTTCTCTGAAGGAAACCACCACTACATCTTGTGGCAGTGAATTCCACCCTCTTCACTAGGCACGGCATCAAGAAGGCTGGAGCTTTTGCCAATTCTCCAAGGCAATGCCGGCATTTGAACCTGGAACCTTTGGCCCGGAATCCAGATGTTCTGCAACCAGGTTACAGCCTTTTCTTCCAGCAAACAGCCACAAAACAAAATGTTCAGGAAGAATGCCCACATGTCGGAAGCAAGGGGACCTTCCACCGGGGAAAGCCAGCTGCAGACGCGCTAACGCCCGAGGGGCGAACGGGCCCATGATCGGCAACTGAAGGACGCCTTCTTCCCTTGCGCCTTGTCCAAGGGGGCAACGTTTACCCGCCACCCGCCAAAGTCCGCACTAGGGGCCCCCAAAGGAGTTTTAAGGCGGTCGCCTCCTTCAA